CCCCTTTGGGTCTCCAAGGTAATAAATCTTTACAGAAGTAGATTGCTCAGTCTTCCTTCTGCAGAGTGGCTGGTAGGTTTGAACAACCAGCCTTCTGGTTAGCAGTCAAATACCTTCAGCATTATGCCACCAGAGCTCCTTGGTTCTTCTACTAGTTGGTGTTTAATCCACTTCTGCGGCCTTCCTTTTAAAGGTCAGGGCTCCAGCGTTATCTTCTGTATCTGTGTCAATTGGCTTCTCTTTTCTTTGTTAAAGAGGGTCTGTGTAGCTTGTCTTCCTATTCTGGCATCTTACTGGGAGTCTTACATTATTCTCTTTTAAGAACTATTTATATGGGATCACATTGACAAAAGCACTCAAAACATTAGGGGCAGTGAATTTATGTTAATGAAGGAGGAACATCTAGGAAAAGGATGGTGAGAATAATCACCCAGTTAGAATGTAATCAGTGTCACTAAATTGTACATGTAGATACTGTTGAATTAGTGTATGTTTTTGTTGTGCATATTCTCAGTAACAACAACAAAATAAATAAAATTTAGAACCTTTCTGAAAAAATACATGTAATAAGTGATTATGATAAATAAATCAAAGTAAGATTTCTATTCAGATATTATTTTGAGATTATAGTGTAATCCAAAGTCAGGATAATTCATAACCAAATAATATTTTCTGTTAAATTGTGTGTTTTATGATTCCATTGCAGGCAAATTGTGAATTATCAAAAGTATAATTTGGGCTTTTCTTTTTCTTTAGTTACCTAGATTCAAGATGAATAGCGATCAAGTTACCCTGGTTGGTCAGGTATTTGAGTCATATGTTTCAGAATACCATAAGAATGATATTCTTCTAATCCTGAAGGAAAGAGATGAAGATGCTCACTACCCAGTTGTGGTTAATGCTATGACCCTTTTTGAAACCAACATGGAAATTGGGGAATATTTCAATGTGTTCCCCAATGAAGTACTAACTATTTTTGATAGTGCCTTGAGGAGGTCAGCCTTGACAATTCTCCAGTCCCTATCTCAGCCTGAGGACGCCTCCATGAAGCAGAATCTTCATGCCAGGATATCAGGTAATGTATAGGAGGTAATTAAAAACTAACTTTCTTAAGGATTTTACTACGCGTTATTCTCTAGGAAAGTGTAGAAAAAATTTAACACATACTGGATTCAGAGCACTAAGAAATAACAGATATCTGTACTTTAAAAATATAAGGCTCTCTGGTGGTGTAATTGGTAAGGCATTTGGCTACTAACTTCAGGGTCAGTGGTTCAAATCCACCAGCTGCTCTGTGGGAGGAAAATGAGGCAATCTACCTCTGTAAATATTTATAGCCTTAGAAACCCAGTGGAGGTCACTGTGAGTTGGAATCAGCCTGTTGGCCAGTAATGCACACATTGTTGTCAAGTCGGCTCTGACTCATAGTGACCCCTCCTTGGGTTTCCAAGGCAGTATCACTATGAAAGTAGACTGCCCAACCTTCCTTCTGAGGAGTGGCTGGTGGGTTTGAACCACCAGCCTTCTGGTTAGCAGTCAAATGCCTTAGGCATTGTGCCACCAGAGCTCCTTGATGGCCAGTGGATGTACTTAAAAATTTATCAACTGTGTAGTTAATGGTCACTTCTTTTAGAGCATAATGATACCAAATGAGTGGAAAGACAATATTTAGAGAAACAGTATACTTGTATGCATATATATTTCCATATCCATTTGTTGTTGTTGTTATTTGTTGTTATGTGCCGTCGAATCGGACCTGACTCATAGTGACCCCTCCTTGGGTTTCCAAGGCAGTATCACTACGGAAGTAGATTGCCCAACCTTCCTTCCAAGGAGTGGCTGGTGGATTTGAACTGCCAGCCTTCTGGTTAGCAGTCAAGTGCCTTAACCACAATGCTACCAGAGCTCCCAATATCCATTTGTGTGTATATAAAATTGCAATCCAAAGTAGCTTTATAAGCATTCAACAGTAAAAGAATTAATAATACAAAGAAAGAAAAATGATAGATGCTGCCCAGGTATCTTCAAAACTATATTAGGAAATCAGTTCTTTTTATATGTCAAGATTAGCATTGTGCAGACCAGGTATTAGACGCCCAGATTTTTGTTGAATGAATGACAGGTTCATTGCATTAAGAAAATGCAATGAAGAGCTCAGCAACTTGTGGTGACAGAGCTGTGCCTGAAAATTTCCTGCCTCCAAATCTTTGCTTCTTGCCCCTCACTTTCTGTTTTAAAATAGATTTTTAACAGGATAGACAGAATTAAATAGTAACTGATAAGAATTTGTGAAAACGTAACATTCCAGTGGAACAATTTTTCATTACTTTGTTGCATGGAAGCCATTTCTTGGAAAGTATAGTATGGAATAATGAAAAGAGGATTGAATTTAGAGAATACCTGGTTAGAACTACACCTGTTGGCTGGAACACTTGGCAAATCACCTAATTGTACTAAGCCTTAATTTCTTCACATGCAAACTACCTCGAGTCCCTTACAGTGGCCCATGATTTTATTTCAAATATGTCATTGTTGTATAAACTAAATGAACTGTAAACTGACTTAGCTTCATCCTCTTTATAGGAAAGAAGAATTTGGTGAAATTAAAAGCTTACTCCAGCATATTTAAAGGATGATTTGTGATTAAATTGGAGGACACACATACCCTTTTGTTTTAAAATAAACGTTTACCTTATAGTACATTTTAGAAGGGTGGGGATTTGTAATCAACAAGAATGCTTGCTGTGATTCCATAAAAGCTAGGAGTCACTAGGCTAGAGCAGAACTCCTTGGAGACAGTAGCACTTAGTGACTCTTTACAAACATACAAGCAAAATTATTTTTAAAAATATATTCAACTAGATGCCCTAGCAATTTTACTCCTGGGTGTATACTCCTAGGTATCTTGTACATGAGTTCTTATAGCACCATTATTTATAAAAGTCAAAAGTAGAAACTAGCCAAATGCTCATCAGAAGATGAATATATAAATAAAATGTGATATATCCATATAATGGAATGTTCACCCATAAAAAGGAATGAATTATTTATATATGCTACAATATGGATGGACGTTGGCTACATGCTAAATGAAAGGAACCAGACACAAAAAACCATATATTGTATAATTTCACTTATATGAAAGACAGACATGAGAATAAGACCTATTTTTAATGAGAAGTTTTTGGCTTTTGCTTGATTGTAACTGGAAATACTGCTGTGTTACTGGTATCTCAACATTTAGCTAATTAGTAGATGCCTGAAATCAACAATGAGAAATGAATGGACAGAGTAGATATCCTTGAATGGATAAATACCTGCTTTAACCCTGTCCCAACTTCTTTGTCAATTCCTGTACATGTGATATAGCATTTGTCAGCCCTGGGCATTTTAATGAAGCAATCTTTAGGAGCTTAGAAATAAGGAAAATACATTGTTTGCTTTCTCAGCATTAAACTGTCAATACAGAATGGAGGATATATACACAAAGTCATCATAAGGGAAAGTATGTATCCTTTACTGCAAAATGAGGTACAATCTGCATTAATATAAATAAAGAATATGTCCATTAGTAAGTGGACAAGTCAGCATTAGAAGCATGGATAAAGTCATAAAGGCAAATGTTGCCAATGCCCATCTTGTTAATCTCTTGTAACTGCTGTTAGGAGCTGTTGAGTTGTTTCCAACTCATAGTGACTCTTTGTACAGGTGAGAACAAAATACTGCTTGGTCTTGCACCATCCCCTCAATCATTGCTGTGTTTGAGCCCATTTGGTTACCTAGTGTCACTCCAACAGAAATATACCACAGATGGTAGGGCTTGAACAGACAGGAGTTTATTCTCTTACAATTTGGGAGGCTTTAAGTCTGAGTTCAAAGTACCAGGCTCTAGGGGCTGGGTGAAAGCCCCTCATCCTTGGGCTTCAGCTCTGCCTCCTCTTCCTGGCCCACTGAAACAGGAGGCTTTTCTTCACTCACACAGCTGCTGGCTGCTGAGGCTGACAAGCCCAAGCTTGACCACTAAAAGGGCACAGTCCCGATGTTACCAAACCACATGGCAGCCCACTAATTCAAGTCCAGATGAAGTCCCAAGATTGGCAGGGCATGGCAGACTGTTGAATAATGACTTGACAACATGCAGGGTTCAAGCATGCCAAAAAGTTAGAGACCAATCCCAAAGCTTCGCCTTATATACTGGAAACAGACCACATCCCTAAAATAGGTACTCAGCTGTTCCAGTAGATTCCTTCATGGAGTTGATTGCCAGTCTCATCATGAGGAATAACTACCTCCAGCTTCCCAGCCACGCAACCAGACCCAGCCACACTGATACACAGACTTAACTGCCACACCATTATTGAAGCCACTGTGTCAGTCCATCTATTGAGGGTCTTCCTCTTTATCACTGACCATCTGCTGTTCCAAGCATACTGTCCTTCTCTAGGCACTGGTCTCTCCTGGTAACATGTCCAAACTATGTGAGATAAAGTCTTACCATCCTCACTTCTAAGGAGCATTCTGACTGTGCATCTTCCATGACAGATTTGTTCATTCTTCTGGCAGTCCATGCTATATTCTGTATTCTTTGTCAACACCATAATCAAAGGCATCAATTCTTCTTTATTCTTGTCCAGCCTTAGAAGCATATGAGGCGGCTGAAAATACCATGGCATGGGTCAGGCACGCCTTCACCTTCAAAGTGACATCTTTGCATTTTAACAGTTTAAAGAGTTATTTTACAGCAGGTTTGCCCATCTATATGTTGTCTGATTTCTTTACTGCTGTTTCCCTAGCCATTGTGGATCCAAGTAAAATGAAATCCTTGACAACTTCAGTGTTTTCTCCAATTATCATGATATTGCTTATTGGTTCAGTTGTGATAATTTTTCCTTTCTTTATGTTGAGGTGTAATCCATACTGAAGGCTGTAATCTTTGAGTAAGTGCTTCAAGTCATTTTCACTTTCAGCGAGCAACGTTGTGTCATCTGTATATTGCAGGCTGTTAATGAATTTTCCACCAATCTTGATGCCACATTCTTAATGTAGCCTAGCTTCTCAAATGTTATCTGCTCAACATAGAGATGAAATAAGTATAGTGAAAGGATACAACCCTGATGTACACCTTTTCTAATTTTTTAAAATTTTTTTGTTTACTGTATGGTATAAGGAGCTCTGATGGTGTAGTACTTAAGGCATTTGACTGTTAACCAGAAGGCTGCTGATTCAAACCCACCAGCCACTCCTTAGAAGGAAGGTTGGGCAATCTACTTCCTAGTGATACCATCTTGGAAACCCAAGGAGGGGTCACTAGGAGTCAGATCCGACTCGACAGCAGTGCGTCTTTTTGTTTGTTTGTATATTTGTTTTTATGGTATACAGTATATGGAGGGAGAGCCCTGGCCAACCAATAGAGAAAATTAAAGTCTCTGTGGTAGAGTTCACTGGGTTATTGTAGGTTAGTACATTAAACATCCAGTTCATCTAACTGTTGTTTTTCTTGTTGTTCTTACTATTTTTTTTAAGTTCCAGCCTCCCAAACTGTCTTCTGATTAGTATGATTTGGCTTTCTGAGTAGATGTATTGACAGGGAGAAAATGTGCTGCCATAGGAACTTAAAGCATAATCATACCTGTGATAGTTATTTTTCATGAGCTTGGTAAATCTAATAAGTGTATCTTCAGTGTGCATACTTGTCAGGTTTTTGAACCACTACATTCTGATGACAAGTTAATGGCTCATGGTACATATACCAGCTTGCTTACTTAACAAGTGCTACTAAAACCTGGTAGGAGACTGGTATTGACTATCACAGCCAGCTCTTTATACTCCAGTAGCATCCAGCCAAACATGAGAAAGAGTGCTTTTCTGCATATAAATTTTCTTTACGTATTTTACCTTTTCAGTGATTGTTTTTTAATGGTGAAAAATATGGAGTTATCAAAGGATAAAGCAATGCCATGGGTAAACCTCCAGGTAACTCAAGACTTGAAATTACTGTCACATTTTGCTTGAATAATTTCTCTTAGAAAGATCAGCACAAGGCCAGTCCCTAGGAGGTGGATGTTAAAGATGTCCCAAACGTCCAACTTTTCCAAATTGCCATGCCATCCATCATCTCTGTCATCAACTCCTCCTCCGTCCCACCATAATCTCCTTCCCGTCTTAGAGTTCCGTAGTTCACTGTAACGTCTCACGGAACTCACAAACTCCCAAGGAAATGGCTCACATGGTAGTAGTGGAGGCTGGAAGGCTGGCAAGTCCTAGGTCTGTAGATAGGTCTAGAAGATTCTCCCAACTCACATGGTTGCAGGGGTTAGCAAGCCCTAATTGGCAGGTCAGATGATGGCTGTGGCCTCAAGTCCAGGGGTGAGATGATGATGAAGCAAACACAGAACCAGAGCAAGAGAAAACAAACTTTCCCAGAACGTTCATATGTATATATGTACCCTCATATGTATATATATACCCTCATATGT